AGCCTCAGCTTCAGGATCTGTCCTTCCAGTGAGCACTCAGGGTTGATTTCCTTTAGAACTGATAGGTTTGTTCTCCTTGCAGTCCAGGGGACTCTCAAGAGTCTCCTCCAGCACCACAATTCAAAAACATTAATTCTTCGGTGGTCAGCCTTCTTTATGGTGCAGCTCTCATTTCCATACATCACTACTGGAAAAACCATAGCTTTTTTAAATAATCATTTTATTCATATCTAAACAATACAAACCTAAAAACATTAACAATCTAACTGATAATTAATAGAAGAAACAGACAGACAAGAACAACAACAATTTAAAAAACACATCTGTGTCCTCCTTCCCCTATGGATCAGAGATTTCACCGTTGTCTGGTCATCGACATATCCAGAAGTGGATTCCGGTGAGCACTAGTTTGCTATAAACTAATTTCCCCCCTAAGTTCCTGTCCTTTTCTGGGCACGGTTATATATCAGCTTCCAGCTTTGCTTTACAAAGTGGCTTGGTTGATCCCCCAGTGCTTCTGAAAGCATGTCCAGTTCTGCAATGTCCAATAGCTTCTTTAATAACTCATCCATTCTTGGTATTTTGGGCCCAGAGTAACCTAGCTGCTGTGAATATATACAGTAGACTATATTTTATTTTCTTGTCACTGATTTCTGGCATTATATTCAGTAATAACATTTCAGGTTAAAAATTTAATTTTTGTTGAACAATCTCTTTTACCATTTCCAAAACCTGTATCCAATTTATTGTTGAACGATTTCTTTTTGCCATTTCCCAAGCCTGTATCTAATTTGTTTTTGCTTTTTCGCATGACCACCGCATGGATTTTTTTTTACACTTCCAACAAACATTACTGTTACCTTCTGACATTTTTGCCAATCTTACCAGGGTAAAATGCCATCTATGAAACATTTTAAGGACATTTTCTCTAAGATTCACTGGCTTAATCATTTTATGATTCTCTTTCCACATCTTTGTCCATTCATCAATATCAATATCAATATCGTACCCAAAAACTTTTGCCCGTTTTACCATCGTCTCCATCACCCTCTCATCCTTGAAGTTGTATTCCAATAAGTCTGTATACATTTTTAAATTATTTTCTCACTAGTGTAAATCCATAGTTCATCCACCTGGACCCTCCCCTCAAAAAATCCCATAGTTTTGAAAAACTATAGCTTTGACTAGGTGGACTTTTGTCAGCAAAATGATGTCTCTGCTTTTTAAGATGCTGTCTAGGTTTGTCATCGCTTTCCTCTCAAGAAGCAGGTGTCTTTTAATTTCGTTGGTGTTGTCACCATCTGCAGTGATCATGGAGCCCAAGAAGGTAAAATCTGTCACTGCCTCCATATATCTTCCCCTTCTATTTGCCAGGAGGTGATGGGACCAGTGGCCTTGATCTTAGTTTTTATCATGTTGAGCTTTAGACCATTTTTTTGCGCTCTCCTCTTTCAGCCTCATTAAGAGGTTTTTTAATTCCTCCTCACTTTCTGCCATCAAAGTGGTATCCATATCTGAGGTTGTTACTATTCCTTTGGGCAATCTTAATTCCGGCTTGGGATTCCTCCAGTCCAGCCTTTCACGTGATGTATTCGGCATATAAATAAGCAGGGAGACAATATACAGCCTTGTCGTACTCCTTTCCCAATTTTGAACCAATC